TAGATTATAAATCCATGGGTATAATGGATTTGTGTTGTGCTGCTGCTGGCCCTTTAAGAACCATCTGGGGACATACTGTGGAGTTACTGGGTGGCCACCATTTCATGTATCAGAGGCACAAGGTGAGAACAATGGATGAAGCATTTGGTGAGAACAATGGATGGCGGCCATTTTAACTCACAGACACTGTTTGGACTTTTCTACATGGTGCCACCTCGCCGGTATTTGGTGCACAAAGACATCGTGCAGTAGTTTTAAACTATACAACAGGGGACACATTATATAGTAATTATTTTTCATATAGCCTGTATATTTCTGCGGAATCTGCATTAAACTGTATCTTCCAAACTACCGAACGGATCTGGGTGATCCGGTGATTTATGGGGTTATTGCATGTTTTGGGCTCCCTGTGATACGTTTTATAATCCTGTATTTCTCTGCCTGTGATAATTATATTACCCATTGTGTTCAGTAATCATATCACAGGCAGAAGGGAGGATTTTGTGTGGGAGTGTTTGTGTGTACGGATTGATTGGTTGTATTTCAAAACCCTGTGGGCAGTACTATGTTTGTGGATTGTGAATAAAAGAGGCTGTATGTGCCAGTAGAGTCAGTTCTGCTTGACCTCAAAACGAAGTGTCATCTCGTTATTGGGGGAATTGGATTGTTTGCTGATTGCCAGGAGTGTAAGCTGATTGTATGCTTTTCCTGTTCAGCTGTTTACAGCATTCATTTGCTTGAGAGCATTTGTATGCTTCTCCGGTTCGGTGGTTGTGGTGTCTGCTACAGTGCTTGGAGTCCTTAGGAAGCGCTAGGAGCATCCTTCAACGGAGGTACCCAGTCGGGGGGGGGCCCGTTGATCCGTTACAATCTGCATATTAAATAATATTTAATAAGACATCATAAAAATATATCATAAAATATATATAATAAAAAATATAAAAATAACCACAGGATAGTCTGCATATAAGGATCTATGGGTAAATGGAAAAGGATACAAATTTTAACTGAATTTTTCCAGAGCATGACAGTAGTATCATATGCACAGATGTAAAAAGATTTGTTCATAGTAAATAGAGCACATGTACATGTGTAACACAGATGAGAATACATGTATCCCTATAGTCCGGATACAGATATTTTAGTGTTGGGAAAAAAATTAAAATAAAAGACATAACAAAAATGGTGTACTACATAAAAGCAGAAATTCATAAAAAATAATGTTTAATAGTGTGGGAAGGTATTAATATCAACAAAGGTTCAGACTAGAATTACAAATGTGGAGGTATAAAAATGATAGATTATTGGCAATGACAATACTAAAAAGGGGGAGGGGAATGAGATAACAAAAATATAAACTTGTAGGTTAAAAATTAACTTTAAAAATGACAAATTTCAAATTTCTTTGGGGTACAGTGAGTCTAGATTATAGATCCATCTCATTTCTTGAATTGCCAGTTGTTTGGTGTAATCGCCTCCTCTGCAGTCTTACGATGCTGATTTATGTTGTTGTGCCTCTGTTTCCTATGCGAAAGCAGGACTTATACTATTGAACTGCCCTATGCTGTTTCACCACCATGTCGTACATATGCACACTTCTGCATTGACACCTCAGTGTAAATAAAAATATTATATTTTACTGTGCTGCTGAGCCTTTTGGAAATGTTTATATTATGTGGCAATGTTTTCCTATACTGTTTTGTGCACTATTGCTGCATGCCACATTTGATATTGATATTGATCCAGATCCTTGTTCAAAACTCCTTAACTAAATCTGCCTTTTCAGATGTACATAGCTAAAATATTGAAAATGCAAAGACTTACTCTATTCAAAACTGTTGGATTCAGTACAGATATGTTCAGAGGTGTAACTAGAAAACAACAGGCCCGGTGCGAAATTTGTCTTGCGTGCCACCATGTGTCTTATTTACCCTCCAGCCCCTCCATGTGTCTCATTCCCTCTCCCAAGCCCCTCCATGTGTCTCATCTCCCACCCAGCCACTGCATGTGTCTCATTTCTCCCCGCTCCTCTAAGTCTCATTCTCCCCAGCCCCCCATGTGTCTCATTTCCCCCAGACCCTCAATTTGTCTCATTTCCCCCTAGCCCATCCATGTATCAGATTTCCTCCCCTCAGCCACTACATGTGTCTCATTTGCTCCCCGCCCCTCCATGTGCCTCATTTCCCCCCAAGTGTCTCATTACCTCCTCCGTCCTTCCATGTGTCTCATTCCCACCCACCACTCTATGTGTCTTATTCCTCCCCCCCCCCCAGCACATCCATGTGGGAAAATCCAGATGGAACACTTAGAATAGACTGTGTCTGTTAGGAGTCAGCTCTAAACTGTAAAGGCACATCACAGAATGTAACCAGCTAGATTGCTGTCGGACTTCAAGGTCATTTGTGGTGATGGGATTTGACAGGAACCAGATTTGAATCTTCAAAAGATGAATTGAATCTTTAAGAAATTAAGGGCATTTTTTTTTAACTAAGGGTTGTAAATGGGTATCTATATAATCAGAAAGGGGAGATAAAAGGGCATTAATATCCAAAACAATTGCCCTGTCTGGAGGATCAACTGGATCTTTATGAAATTTTGGTAAAGTGTGTGTCATCAGAGGTTGACAACCATAACGGTTGTCACAGGCCCAGTGGCCCTGGGTGGCCCGGCCACCCGGGGCCCACATGTAGCGGCAGAACAGCCGCCGGTGCAGTTGTACCGGGGCCCGCACGCTGATGGGGCCTATCGGGTGGCCCACGCACTTAGGGCCACCTGATGGGCCCTGTATCTTCAGGGGCCCGGTCAGCGCTGTGGCCGTGCAATAGCGCGACCGGGCCCCTTTAAAAAAAATTCAGCCACAAGTACTGCTGGGAGGAAGTGGCCGTCACTTCCTCTCAGCTCCCTCCGCGCCGCGCGGGAGGGAAGAAAGCCAGGCCGCGGGAGCCACGCCGACTCCTATCAGCCACAGCCTGCCACCTGCAAAAAAAAGGTAAGAAAAATTAGCTGTGTATGTTAGTATGTATCTATGTCTATATGTATGTCAGAATGTCTGTATGTATGTCAGTATGTCTGTCAGTATGTCTGTATGTATGTCAGAATGTCTGTATGTATGTCAGTATGTGTGTATGTCAGTATGTATGTGTGTCTGTGTGTATGTATGTCAGTATGTATGTATGTCAGTATGTATGTGTGTCTGTGTGTATGTATGTCAGTATGTATGTGTGTATGTATGTATGTCAGTATGTATGTCTGCGTGTGTAAGTCAGTATGTGTATGTATGCATGTCTGTCTGTGTGTATGTATCTGTATGTATTTCAATATGTATGTATATGTCTGTGTCTGTCTGTTTATATATGTATGTATGTCAGTATGTGTGTGTGTGTGTATTTATGTCCTTATGTGTGTGTGTGCAGTGTGGATTGGAATTTGTTCATGTTGTTTATTGTCCGGCCCCCAACAGTGTCTGAGGGACCGTGAACTGGCCCCTTGTTTAAAAAGTTTGAGGACCCCTGTCATTATGTATGTATGTCATTATGAATGTATGTCAGTATGAATGTATGTCTGCATGTCATTATGAACGTATGCATGTGTGTATGTGTGTATGTGTGTATGGATGTCAGTATATATAAATGTATGTATGTATGTATGTCAGTATATATGCGTGTATGCCAGTATGAATGTATGCCATTATGAATGTATGTCTGTGTATGTATGGGTGTATGGATGTCAGTGTCTGTATGAATGTATGTTTGTCAGTATGTCTGTATGTATATATGTATGTATGCCAGTATGAATGAATGTCTGTGTGTATGTATGTCGGTGTATGTATGTGTATGTCCTCATGCATGTGTGTCTGGATGTATGTTAGTATGTGTCTATCTGTCACTATGTATGCCTGTGTGTTTGTATATGTGTGTACGTCTCAGTATGTGTGTGTCAGTACGTATCCCTATATGCGTGTATGTCTGTTTCAGTATGTGTGTCTGTTATCATCTTTGTGTGTGTGTGTGTATCTGTGTTCTTTTGTATCAGTGTGTGTTTTTGTGTCTGTGTGTGTATACCTGTGGGCGTGATTTGGAGGCGGACCCTGTGGGCGGGATTGGAGGCAGGCCCCAGGGGGCCCAGACCCTGAGCTGAGTTAGGGGCCCCAAAATTTCTGGTGGCGGCCCTGACTAAGGCAAAGGCTCAGAGCACAGTAAAGAACCGTGGGCATGCAAATGGAGAGGACTACATCAAGACACAAATACAGCAGGTCATATATATGCCACAAACAAAATATATCAAGTCAGAATACATTCTGTATAAATAATCATAGTCAGTGCAATTATAAAGATCTTTTGGATCATAGATCTCAGAAGCTCACAATATTAAGACTGAAGCAATCAAAAAAAAAACCATATTTAAACTGAAAAAGTATATACAACTTAGAAATAATTTTTTAAATAATTAAAGAATTAAAAAATAAGCAAGAAAAAGATGAAAAGTGAAAAAAAGACTAATAGAAAAATAGACTAAAATAAGCCAATAAAATAAAAATAAAATTTAAATTTTTTTCAAACAAATGATAATAAATAAATAATAAAAAATAATAAATAATAATGAAGAAAAAGGACAAACATAATATTAAAGAAACATGGAGAGCACAATATTTTCATTATGTCCTCTTGGTGTCACTGTGTCTAATCGATGAATCCATTGTGCCTCACACTGAAGTAGCTTCTTCGATCTGTCACCTCCTCTGGGCATCGGGGGGACACAGTCAATGGCCATAAAACGTAACTTAGGGAGTCTATGTTGCATATGTAAAAAGTGTTTAGCAACTGGCTTGTCACTGCGTTGATCTCTAAATGTTGTAGTTATGGTGGACCGGTGTCCCCTTATGCGTTCTCTTAATGTCAAATCGGTCTTACCCACATATGAGAGTCCACAGGGGCATGTGATCATGTATATCACGTGGTCAGTGGTACAAGTAATATAGTGTGATATTTTGATTCTCTGACCACTATGGGGATGAGCAAAAGTCGTACCACTGATCGTGTGACTACACGTCACACATCCACTACATTTGTAGCAGCCTTTCTTGGTGATAATCTCAGGTTTACGGTAGCAAATTATCGGATCACTTTTCACCAGAAGGTCCTTTAAGTTTTTATTCCTTCTGTAACTGATAACTGGAGTATCCATGAATGTATTGGGTAATGACTTGTCTGATCGTAATATGTCCCAATGTTTTTGAATGGATTGTCTTACTTTCGATGTCCCTGTATGAAAGGTCATTTCTTTTGGTCCCTTCTGGGTTTTGTCATTCAGTTTTTTTCGATTCCATATTTCCAAGGCTTTGGTCTGTGCTACTTGAAGAATGTGTGGATGATAACCACGTACACGAAATCTATCCCACATCTGGTCAAGTTGAATTTTACATTTTTCTGTTTCTGTATTGTATCTCAATGTTCTTAAAAATTGACTTTATTCCTTCTGTAACTGATAACTGGATTATTCATGAATGTATTGGGTAATGACTTGTCTGATCGTAATATGTCCCAATGTTTTTGAATGGATTGTCTTACTTTCAATGTCCTTGTATAAAAGGTCATGGGAAGGTAAATTCTGGGTTCTTTTGGTGCCTTTTCGGTTTTGGATGATAACCACGTACACAAAATCTATCCCACATCTCGTCAAGTTGAATTTTCCTTTTTTCTTTTTCTGCATTGTATTGAGAAATTGGTAATGATTTCTTAAGTTGTTGTGGATGAAAACTGGAGGCGGAGAGGAGGTCAGTGTTTTTACGATACAAAGTAAATTCCAAATTGTTTCCCTTCTTATAAATGGTAACATCCAAAAATTTAATTGACTTTTCATCAATTTGATGGCTCAAAACAACTGGTATAGGTGATTGATTTATCTCCTTAATCATTTGTGCCTGTCCAAATCATAAAAAGATCATCCACAAAGCGGTAATAGTGTTGGATGTAATGCCCAAATTTTGCCAAAATATGGGTGCGCTCAAAGGTGTACATGAAGGCGTTGGCATACGATGGTGCCATCGCCGCCCCATCGCAGTTCCAGACAATTGTACGTAAAACTGATTTTCAAATTTAAAGTAATTACATGTAACTGCAATTGTCAAAAATTTTAACAGGTACTCAATCGGTGGTCCTTCATATATTGTTGATTCGGCTAGGATATCTCTCAAAGCCTGCACACCCTCCCCGTGGGGTATGATGGTGTACAGGCTCTGAACATCCATCGTGACAAGTAGAGATGTGGAGTCCACATATGGTGATCGTTGAATTCTGGACATAAAATCTTGTGTGTCACGCAAGCATGTAGGAAGAGCCATAACGCTGTCCTTAATAAAAGTATTGATGTATTTGGCAACAGGTTTGTTTATGCCATACCTAGCCGAAACTATGGGTCTCCCTGGTGGTTGTAATGAATCTTTGTGAATCTTCAACAACATGTAGAGCACCGGGTGCCTAGGGTGCTCTACTGTGAGGTATTGAGCTGTATGAGTATCCAGATATTCCAGTTGTAGCCCCAATTCTTTTCTGGAATTTTGCCGTCGGGTCAAGAGTACTTTTTGCATTTCCAAAGTATCACTAAGTTGTCTTAATATTTCTTTCCAATATTGATCATATGATTGTATCACCGTGGCCCCACCTTTGTCGGCCTACGAATTACAATGTTAGGATCTTGACTAAGGTCTTTCAAGGCCAGTTTTTCTCCCGGAGTTAAATTCTGATGAGATGGAGGTGGGTTTTTCAAATTTTTTTCAGTGTCAGTTTTGACAGTTTGATAAACGCTTTAATAGAAGAATAAGCAGTCTGAATATCCTTTTTATTTTTAGGTGGAAAAAAGTGAGTAGATTTTTGTGTTAAAGGACCACTATAGTGCCAGGAAAACATACTCGTTTTCCTGGCACTCTAGTGCCCTAAGGGTGCCCCCACCCTCAGGGTCCCCCTCCTGCCCGGCTCTGGAAGGGGTAAAAACTACTTACCTTTTTCCAGCGCTGGGCAAGGAGCTCTCCTCCTCCGATCCTCCTCCGTTCCTCCCCTGTCGGCAGAATGCGCATGCGCGGCAAGAGCTGCGCGCGCATTCAGCTGGTAGCATAGGAAAGCATTCACAATGCTTTCCTATGGACGCTGGCATGCTCTCACTGTGAAAATCACAGTGAGAAGCACGCAAGCGCCTCTAGCGGCTGTCAATGAGACAGCCGCTAGAGGCTTTGGGGGAAGGCTTAACCCATTCATAAACATAGCAGTTTCTCTGAAACTGCTATGTTTATAAAAGAATGGGTTAATCCTAGCTGGACCTGGCACCCAGACCACTTCATTAAGCTGAAGTGGTCTGGGTGCCTAGAGTGGTCCTTTAAATGTGTCTTGATTGTATTGCTGTACAGTGTTCTTTGAATCTTATATAACTCAACTTCCATCTTAAACAAGTCAGGTTTTGCAACTGGAACAAAAGATAGACCTTTGTTTAATAGTGAATAATGATCAGAATTAAGTGCTTTATTGGATAAATTGAATACCGTTATCTCCTCATCCTGGGTGGTTTGCCCGTGAGGTTTGTATTTTTTCCAATTTCTTTTCCCTCGCCGTATTGGTCAGCTCTTTTTGCGCCTCTGGTATTGATACATATTGTGTCTGGAGGTTCGTCTGAACCTCTTTCTAAAAAAGGATTCTGGGTCTGTCTTTTTTAGTCTTCTCTGGAGTCTGGGTCTGAAGTGGAGTCACCTGAACTGGCATCAATGGTGTTAAATGAAGGCTTGTGTATTTTAGTCCTGAATCTGATCTTAGATCCATAGTTTTCTTGAGCACCTCCTAGCCATCTATAGACCTGGTGATATTTATAATCATTATTAACTTTCTCCAATTTTTGTTTCTTGAAATGAATTAAATCGTTTTTATATTTATTTATTTCATCCTGGAATTTGAGCATCTGGGTGGTAGCAGATGATGCTTGTAATGTTATATTATTTGTGGTTTCCCAGCTTTGAATTGATTGCTTTACAAAAATTAACTCTTTGCCTACCTTCTCCACCACAATTACCATCCAGTCTAAGGAACATTTATTGGATATCTGCATCCAGTTTTTGCAGAATTCCGAATTTTGTCTTCCGATTGTAAGTGCATTTCTGACCCTGAATCCTCTTGGTATCCTTTTTGCTCTGTGATAATCTGAGATAAACACACCATGAAGGTCCAGATCTGTTTCCCATTTTTTTAATTTCAACAAATCATTATATAAATCTTGGACGGTGTTAGTATGTAAGAGATCTTTAGAAGTTTGTGACCATAAAATAGTGTTAGCTTGCTCCTCCTCAGATATAGAAAGTGTTTCAGCTGACTCTGAAAGTGCCCCAGCTTTAGCCAAAAAATCTTCTATGGTATACGAAGAAAAATCTTGAGAAGGAGAGTAATTCACTGTTTAGTGAATATTCCAAGGACGGGGTGCTCAAGCTGGTGCAACAAACACCAGAAAATATATTCAAAAACTGTTTCTTGGCACTCACCCTTTTGTGTAAAATAATCAAATTTAGCCTAGGTGCAATCCCGCGTTAAAGATATATAAACAAAAGAAAAGAGATGCACTCCACGGACTTAATAAGTGAAAAAAGGGGGTAATTTATTCCAATAGGTATTGCATCAAAAATTAGGCGACGTTTCGACCCATTCGGGTCTTTCTCAAGGTCAATGTACCTAGCTATAAAAGTTATATATAGGGAATAAGAAAATGTACTCACCAATCGTGAAGAAACCCCTGAATCCCTTCGTGCAAACCCGGAAGTGAAACCGGAAGTGAAAACCTGCGGTCACGTGATGCATGTGTGATGACGTGGTGTTGCTAGGATACCGATAAACAAACACAATTATAAGATCGGTATAATGGTCTCAGGTATGTATACCGGGTGTGCAAGTGGACGGCTCTTCCTACATGCTTGCGTGACACACAAGATTTTATGTCCAGAATTCAACGATCACCATATGTGGACTCCACATCTCTACTTGTCACGATGGATGTTCAGAGCCTGTACACCATCATACCCCATGGGGAGGGTGTGCAGGCTTTGAGAGATATCCTAGCCGAATCAACAATATATGAAGGACCACCGATTGAGTACCTGTTAAAAATTTTGACAATTGCAGTTACATGTAATTACTTTAAATTTGAAAATCAGTTTTACGTACAATTGTCTGGAACTGCGATGGGGGCGGCGATGGCACCATCGTATGCCAACGCCTTCATGTACACCTTTGAGCGCACCCATATTTTGGCAAAATTTGGGCATTACATCCAACACTATTACTGCTTTGTGGATGATCTTTTTATGATTTGGACAGGTACTATTATGGATTTGGAGCAAATGATTAAGGAGATAAATCAATCACCTATACCAGTTGTTTTGAGCCATAAATTGATGATAAGTCAGTTCAATTTTTGGATGTTACTATCTATAAGAAGGGAAACAATTTGGAATTTACTTTGTATCGTAAAAACACTGACCGCAATACTCTCCTCTCCGCCTCCAGTTTTCATCCACAACAACTTAAGAAATCATTACCAATTTCTCAATTTTTAAGAACATTGAGATACAATACAGAAACAGAAAAATGTAAAATTCAACTTGACCAGATGTGGGATAGATTTCGTGTACGTGGTTATCATCCACACATTCTTCAAGTAGCACAGACCAAAGCCTTGGAAATATGGAATCGAAAAAAACTGAATGACAAAACCCAGAAGGGACCAAAAGAAATGACCTTTCATACAGGGACATCGAAAGTAAGACAATCCATTCAAAAACATTGGGACATATTACGATCAGACAAGTCATTACCCAATACATTCATGGATACTCCAGTTATCAGTTACAGAAGGAATAAAAACTTAAAGGACCTTCTGGTGAAAAGTGATCCGATAATTTGCTACCGTAAACCTGAGATTATCACCAAGAAAGGCTGCTACAAATGTAGTGGATGTGTGACGTGTAGTCACATGATCAGTGGTACGACTTTTGCTCATCCCCATAGTGGTCAGAGAATCAAAATATCACACTATATTACTTGTACCACTGACCACGTGATATACATGATCACATGCCCCTGCGGACTCTCATATTATTATTATTATTATTATTATGATATTTATAGAGCGCTGTCAAATTTCGCAGCGCTTTACAATGGGTGGACGAACAGACATGTAGTTGTAACCAGACAAGTTGGACACACAGGAACAGAGGGGTTGAGGGCCCTGTTCAATGAGCTTACATGCTAGAGGGAGTGGGGTAAAATGACACAAAAAGGTAAGGATAGTATTAGACTAATGACGGTTGCAGAAGAGGAATCAGTCAGGAGCTATTAACAGTTTAACTGATACGCTTTTTAACGATTTTTTGAAGGAATGGAGACTGGGAAGTGAGTTCCACAGGAACGGTGCAGCCCTCGAGAAATCTTGAAGGCGAGCATCAGAGGTGGGAGTACGGACAGAAGATAGACGTAAGTCTTCAGCAGATCGTAAGGGCCTAGACGGGACATACTTGTGTATAAGGGAGGATAGATAGGTGGGAGCAGCATTATGTAGCGATTTGAAAGCAAGAACCAGAATTTTAAATTGAGCTCTATATTTTATAGGAAGCCAGTGCAGGGATTGACAGAAGGGTGAGGCATGGGAGGTGCGGGCGGACAGGAAGATGAGCCTTGACGCCGCATTCATTATGGACTGTAATGGCACTATTCGGGAGCACGTAAGACCACTGAGAAGCGGATTACAGTAGTCAAGGCGAGAATGGACACCTTAGTTGCATCTGGCGTTAAGTAGGGGCGGATGCGCGCAATGTTTTTTAGATGGAAATGACAGGATTTGGCGATAGATTGAATATGAGGCTTGAAGGAGAGGTCGGAGTCAAAGAGAACACCTAGGCAGCGAGCCTGCGTGGTGGAGCTGATGGTAGCACCGTTGACTTGGAGGGAGACAGACACAGGAGTAACAACACTTGAGGGAGGAAAGACCAGAATTTCAGTTTTGGTCAAGTTTAGTTTAAGGAAGTGGGCAGCCATCCAGTTAGAAACAGCAGAGAGGCAGTCAGAGACACTAGTCAAGAGGGACAGGGAGAGATCAGGAGAGGACAGGTAGATTTGCGTGTCATCTGCATAGAAATGATATTGGAAGGCAAAGGAGCTAATGAGTTTACCAAGGGAGGCAGTATAGATGGAGAACAGTAGGGGACCAAGGACTGAACCTTGGGGGACACCAACAGAGATGAGTTGGGAGAAGCAGCAGAGCAAGAGAAAGAAACACTGAAAGAGCGCTGGGAGAGGTAGGAGGAGCACCAGGAGAGAGCAGTATCTTGTAGACTGATATTGCGGAGGATGAGAAGAAGCTGTTGATGATCAACAGTGTCAAAAGCCGCAGACAGGTCAAGAAGAATTAGGATAGAGTAGTGACCATGAGATTTTGCAGCGAGTACATTATTAGATACTTTGGTCAGTGCTGTTTCCACAGAGTGCTTAGCATGGAAACCAGACTGAGGTGGGTCTAGCAGAGAGTTGGACTCGAGGAAGTCTGTCAATCTCGCATACACAATTTTTTCAAGGATCTTGGATGCAAAAGGCAGTAGCGAGATAGGACGATAGTTGGATGGGGAGTTAGGGTCAAGATTGGGCTTCTTTAGAATTGGGGTTACAGTTGCATGTTTGAAGGGCAATGGAAATATACCAGAGGAGAGAGAGAGATTGAGGATTTTAGTGAGAGGTGGAGAAAGAGAAGAAGACAGAGTACGGATGAGATGCGAGGGAATTGGATCTAGGGAGCAGGAGGTGGGACGGGAGGACTGGAGCAGAGCAGAAACTTCTTCCAATGTAGAGGGTGCGAATGAACATAGAACAGCAGAGGGAGTGAAGTTAGGGGAAGTATTGTAAGTGGAAGAAGAAAGATGAGATATCTCTTCTCTGATTGTAAAGATCTTGTCAGTGAAGTGAGTTGCAAAGTCTGAGGCGGTCAAGTTAGTAGGTGGAGGAGGAACAGCAGGGCGAAGAAGAGAGCTAAATGTGTGAAATAGTCATTTGGGTTCGCGGGAGAGTGTGGTTATGAGGGTATTGAAGTAATTAACTTTTGCAGAGGAAAGAGCCAAGCTGTATGAGCTCAGCATAAATTTATAGTGGAGAAAGTCAGATGCACAGTGAGAATTTTTCTAAATTTTTTGCTATTTTGACCTTAAATTTGAAATTCACTTTGGATTTACCATGGCATCTAAATTTGGTAAATAACCCTGTTAGTTTCAAAATTCTCTATTCCAACTCAACCTAAAAAGATTATAGATGCTTTAATTCTGTTTGATGGCAGTGCTAGTCAATCTGGGACTTTTTGCGTACAAACTACTGTGCTCCCAGTGTGCAACATGTCGAAGAGATTGTTTTTTTATATAATTTTTTTTCCCTTTTCTAGATAGGTTTAGAGTCACTAAGGTTACATTAGCATAACCCTTCAACTGATTGGGAAACACAATCTGTATTATCATATTCAAAAAAATTGCCTGTTCAACCCTGTTTCTAAAATTGTTTCTTCATGTTCAGAATTTGAGAGATAGCTTTACAATATCATGAATTTTCTGATGTATTTTCTGAATCCAAAGCTTCTACTTTAAACCTTCCATACATTGATTGTCCCATTGATTTGCTTGAAGGCAAAAACACATCATGGTATTATATATATATATATATATATACATATATATATATATATATATATATATAATATAAATTGTGATAAATAAGAGTGGTACCATCAGACCATGCATTGATTATTGGGAATTTAATTAGATAACTGTAAAAAACAGATACACTCTGTATGGGAAGAAACAGAGATGCTAACATTTTTACAATATTATATTAAGTGATGCTTATTAAACTTTGCAGTTCGGGAACAGAATCAGATGTGCGTGAAAATGGGCCAGTTAGTGTAATGCAAAATATATACATTATGTAATGTCGGAATATTTATGGGGTAATAAAATATTAAAAATAATATTTAAAAAAAATATTTAAATATATATATATATATATTTTTTAATATCAAAAATCTATATTTTGGCACTGTAATTCCCTAATTTAATTGGCTAACTACTACTTAAGTTATTTTAGATCCCTTTGAAGTAAGTATTTAATTTACTTTTTATATTTTACACAAATACCACAATCTCTTTATAAAAATATAACTTATTGTGACATGATAATAATAGACATGCATAATAAAATACAGTAAATCATGAGGTAGATGAGGTAGAATATGACAATAATATGACATCAATAATCAACAATCCAGAGAAAATTTCTAAGTGAATTATACACTATTTCAACACAAACCAGAATTAAATTAACCATTTTCCTGCCATCCAAAACAAAGGGATCAAGCAATTTAAAATAAACTAAACTGGTCAGCTATATTATTTGCATTACCTTGATAACCACAATAAAATCACAGCCTATTTCTCTGGCTATGCATTAATTACACTAATAAAAAAAATAAAAAAAATTTACATCACAAATACTAATGACCTTTAATTAGCTGAAATAATTCCTGTGTGCATTTAAATAAACTACAGACAATTAAAAGATAAAAAGATGAGATTTGCAAAAATATTTGGATTAACAAGCTTTGAATATTGCAAAATTATAGGCAAATTTCCCAACTATTGTATTTTAAAATTGGAGCTGCAATCACCCATTTCAAACACAATGACTGTATTCGAGAATTGGGAATATATATTAGTTTGTGTCCTAATATTATTTGAAATAATATATATTATCAGTTCAGACTAGCCCACCTTAAATTCAATGTAGCTATATACTGCTAATATGTATTTGTTTTAATATAAATGAACACACAGATATTTGTTAGATAAAAACCTCATATTTATTTAATCAAGTTATAATTATATTTATTGATACATATGCATGCTTTTTTACTTCTGGACAAATTTCACCCCACTTAACATCACATTAGGTGTCAGTAAGAGACTGTGCAAATTTGTAACAAGACCCTAACTGTGTCTTATCTTAGAGAGATATGCCAGACTTTTATGAACTGACTAGAGAATATTGTAGAGTGCTTTCTTTCTTTTTGGTGAAGAGAAAAAAAAATGTTTCAAAACAAGATGGCTGATATCTGGTTCATACTATTATAATATAACTGAAGCATATTCACTTACAGTGACATTATAACCAATCCGCACAAAATGTCTGACAATAATATCATGTATGTATTGTGCAGTACTCTGGCCCATTTTCCTGCCATTTGGTTCACAGATCAAATGAGAAAAAGTAACAAATAAAGGGGGGAAAGCAGGAGCAGTCTACATTTCTATATTATATATTTATTCAATATGTAAAATATAAATATAGATTATTTTGCTGCTTCCTCTTTTTTCCATCTCACTTGATCTATAAATAAAAATAGCACTTAGTGGCTATCCCCTAACCATCAATCGTCATTTTTACCCTCTATCATCTTTTTTCTTGGCACCAATGATAGATTCCTGACTCACGAATCAAACAATCTGGCTTGTCCAATGTCTGGTTTGTTTGTTCATGATACATTCATTTTGGCGCATCGGAGTTATGAAAATCGATGGGCCAAAATTCAGATGAATTGCAGTTCATTTGAAAATGAATGACAAGTCTGGAGGAGACAACATGTTTACTCATCAATTATCCTCTATTAAAACATCGTATACTTTCAGTTCCTCCTATCAACCAAAACTTGTAAACACTCATTTTGAACATTGAACATACAGCTTCCTGTACACCATCAACTAATGAGTATAGTAATATTTGCAACTTATACTAGATATACAAAGGAGTTTTGCATTTATTATTTATTTTCTTTTACAATCCTCCATCATACAATTCTATGCAATATGACAGTAGTGATTAATATTTCTCTTACCTGCCCGTTTGTTCTGTATTTTCAACTTAGTCATTAGGAAATTCAAGTAATTTACTAATTATAAATCACACATTTAAAATCCATTTCTTAGAGAGAAGCTTTTTGAAAGCTCTTTTAACCTCCTTATTTCTCAAGCAGTATATAACAGGATTAAACAAGGGAGTTATAACACTATAGAGCATGGGTGACAATCTTAGAATATCAAACATATCTCTTGGAGTAGGACCTATATAATTAAAATTGCCTGTTATATAAAACACTGTAACAACAATGATATGGGAGGAACATGTTGAAAAGGCTTTCCATCTTCCAGTAGAAGATGGAATCTTTAAGATTGTAGAAATAATATGTATATAAGAAATGGAAACAAACAATAATGGAATTATCCCCAGTAGAACATTAACAATATACAATAATATTTGGCTGTTCTGAGTATCTGTACAAGAAGACTTTAGAAGTGGAGGAACATCACAAAAGAAATGGTTCACAGTTCTGCTTTTACAAAAGTTCAATTTAGATGTCATGTAGGTGTGGAGAATAGAGTTCAAGAAGCCACCAAACCAGGATGCTGCAACAAGATAAGAGCATATTTTTTTGTTCATGACATTTGGATAATGTAGGGGGTTACATATTGCCACGTATCGATCATATGCCATAGCAGCTAGCAATAGGCATTCAGATCCTCCAAAGGCGATAAAGAAATACAGCTGAGTAAAACATAGACAGAAGGAAATTCTCCTGTTGCCTGTTACAGAGTTGAAGATCATGGAAGGAAGAGTAACTGAAGAGTAACAAATGTCTAAGATGGAGAGATAACTGAGAAAAAAATACATTGGGATCTGGAGATTGTAATCAATCCGTATAATGCTTATAATGGCAACATTTCCCATTAGAATCATTGTGTAGATCACAGACATAAAAAATGACAATATCACACGTCCCTCTGAAAAGCCTAAAAGAATAAAATCACTCATAAAAGTTATATTTCTCACTTCCATCAAAAGTAAATCAAAAATCTGTTGGAATAAAATACAGATTAAAAATATAACATGGCCTTCTCTTACAGGTTTAAAGGATCAGTCCTACTCCACTTTCAGATTTACAGCACTCCATTCTTTTTTTTCATTAAAGGAACAAGACTGAAGTACAATCTGGGGAGCTATTTTTCTCCCCATAAAATACTGCTTATGGTGAAAACAATTGTTAGTGTAAACACATGGTAGAATGTGACATTGGCTTTTATTTTTTTTCTCCAATAAAAAATAGAAATAAACAACTCATTCTACAATGCCAAAAACATTCCCCGTCACATTGGTTTGACTTAATGGGTCCCTGTAGGCAGTATAACCACCAGGAGGTGGGAGGGTCTGGGAGGGAGGGTCTGCTGCTGATTGGCTGGAATGTGTCTGCTGACTGTGAGGTACAGGGTCAAAGTTTATGTTTATGTTCGCCATCCGCGGCAAACCGTCCGGCGAACCGTTCGGCGAACCATTTGGCGAACCGTTCAGCGAACCGTTCGGGACATCACTAATCCCAAACAATTCCTCTATTTTCAGGAAAAATGGTTTGACCAAGTTGAATTTTCTTTCTGTGCACAAGTCTAGTAATTACATTATAATACCATGAAATAAAAAAAACTTGCTTAATTATATCATCATTAAACAGATTTTTTTTTAGGTAGGAAGGCATCGTTTGCCATCCTCTCCACATTTTTGTTGCATATGTGTTGTGGGATTATTGGGCAGATAGTGACCTCTATCACAGTACACAGTATCAGTCATTTAATTGTTTTTTAACTACCTGTCTTAGCATGTTTGTTTTAACTATTGCGGTTTAGCACTCATAGAACTATCATCAGAAGAAAATGAGTGGAACATTTTATAGTGAATTTGGACATTTATGCACACAGTGAATGTGTACTCCTACTGCTTGCATGGGAGTTCAATGTCAGTAAACTAAAAATCTTAAGATTGGTAAGCAACATATATTTTAACAGTTAGATTTAAGGCTCAGTGTATATAAACCATTGTATTCTTGTAAATGGTTTGTTACTAACTGTGGATTGAGATGAAATGTCAAATGAGTAGAAAAATTAGACTGAAATACCAAGATTGAAAATATTTTCAACTCAGATATTTTGTAGTTCCATTGTCAATTCATTACAATTCTTCTTGGTATATAAACCAAATAGTCTCACAAGTAGCCCACATCGGTAAATCCTTCCTATGTACTTAACTGGGGTCTGTAGGTGATAATTCATGGTATACAAATGCACATGGTCTGCAGATTATATTTTATAATTTTAAAATAATGCATCACACTAACCATTAGAGACTAAAATAATGACATAAATGTTATCTTTAGTATTATGTTTCTACAAAACCAATTAAATATATACATTAAAGCAAATACATTGACTGAATGGAAATGTATTTATGCTGAAAATAAGATATGACTGGAAAAAAAATTCTCTAACACAAACCTTCGAACTAATGGCTTACTTCTCAAAAAGCCCAGGTTGTCTTCTGAGACAGTAAGTTGGGCTGATTTATAAAGCTTTGCTACATAAATCATAAGGCCCTTGGAGAGACATTCATTCTACTCAGGAGGTTCAGGAACTTACAGTATAATGAATGTTGTAAAATACTTAAGCATTCCAAAACCAGAAAAATTTAACACAGTAATAAAGGTTAAATAAAATACTTAAAGGTACAGAATTAAGTTGTTATAGAGCTAGGGGGCCCCTGGCACTGGATCCATCTAAAGGGGTTAAAGGTTTCTCAAACTGTTTAACTCCAAAGTCTGTGTTACAGCAAAGAATCTCCATGCCTCTTTGCCCTTCCATTTCTGTAAAATTCTCTAAAATGGAAGAATCGGGCAGTGGCGCCGCTGATTTAATGAGCGCGATCAGCTGACGTGGTCAACCAATCATTGAAACCCCATTCATAAAACTGGCTTGAAAAAGTAACTTTTTTTGTTTTTTTTTTCAAAATAAAACATTCCCAATGACAGGTGCAAAGGTTCTTTTTATACTCCTTCTTAGTTATAATTGTGTTGATAATCCCTTAATAAAGAGGTGAAAACATCAATCCTAAAGATCCTTCCTTTTTTTGGAAATACCTGACCTGCAGCAGGATGTAGCCTGGTCTTGAGGCAATGCTTGAACAAAGGAACTGGTTCCTGAAGGATCTCCATGAAGTGGGTGTGAGGAGGAAATTAAGAGATCTCCTAATCCAGCCCATGTCGGTTTCCATGGAGTAGTCAAGTGGTAGTAATGAGAAGGAAAATCTGGGGCCAGTCTAAGTCAGTTACTGAGTGAGCTGAGAGAGTCTTGACAGCCCGGTCTTTACCTGAAGTAAGTTCGAGGTTTCACAAGTGAGAGTAGTCATTTAGTGGTCCGAGTCGGGAACAGGGGGTCCAGTCAAAAGAAAGAGAGGAAGCTGAGGGTGGTAAGGTTCAGGAGAGCAGTGGTCCACAGGGAATGAAAGGATCAAGTTCAGTGGGGAGCAGAGGAAGCTAGAAGAGATAAGTTAATCAAAGAGTCATTTACAAGACTCAATAACTGAACCTAGATTACTGCACACAGTGGATTTGAAAAGCATACAGTTTAAAGTACTAAACATCTACCCACAACATGGACTTCCTCAAGAAGCCTGAAGACCAAGTTAATTGGGATGAGGAGAATGGGATAGATCTACCAAGTCAGGGGTATGCACATCCCAACTTGGTGTCCACAAATTATCCTCACACTTGTACCTTTTATATTATTATAACTAATATTTACAAAGCGCCAACAAGTTCTGTACAATGGGAAGATTAACTAGGTATTTAATGCGTCTTTACTTAATTCTTAAATCTAGGATGGACTTGACCTCATACTCCTCCTCGTCAACTACAAGTAAGGGAGGAAGATCCCTGTCTAACCAGGGGGTTTAGGCAGGAACCTTGAATACAAGTTTTGTGGAAGGAGTGTGAAAACGGTGTGAATTTTGCAGGTTAGTGATAGGCTCAAATTGTATCTTATGGGGTTAGTTGTGCTCCAATAGTAAATGGGCAAGTAAAGGAATCTGAGTATTTTTTGGTTGAGTGGAGAGTTTTAGATTCTTGGTGGAGAGTACAACCTTGTCTCCAATTTGATAGGCTTGGGCCACTTGTCTATTTTGGCATATTGGGTTTAGGGTTTTTTGGGTGTGCGTAAGTATGGTTTTGAGAAGGATTAAATTGTCTCTGATTTGTTTTATGAAGTCGTGTACTCTAGGAAATGTAGGGTGAATGAAATTAGTTGTCTGAGTATAACCCTAACACGCAGAATCTAGGATAGCAAGGAACGGACAAAGGAAATATAAAAGTCCTACCAGGCCTTAGAGTGGCCGGACTAAATGTTAGGTAGAGTAAAGAGGCAGCAAAAACGAGAACTAGCCTGAGTCAGGTACAATGTAATATTTAGATGAACAAACAAGACAGGCAAGGGTTAAAGAGAAACTGAGAGTCAGGAAACAAAGCCAGAATACAATACAATACAATAACTCAAGGAATGCACTAAAGGGTAATGGGAACAGAAACCACAATAGGGCACAGTATCTAGGGCCAAGTAAGTTTAAATAATCCATTGTTTAATTTGATTGGTCCATGTCACGCCTGAATGGGGGCACCAGAATGACGTGGGCCAATGGGAGTCGACTTCAACACGAGCAGCGTTCTTAAAACTGTACAGACCACGTGCCTGACCAGACCATTCGGCGCATGGTCCGCTATGAGTCAGGCGTGTTCGAGCCGCATGTGGCTCGACTGGAGGCAGGAGTGCCAAGGCCGGGCACAAGGCCAGGTAAGTACCGCTACAAGCTGGTTGGAAGTAGTGGTGATATCCATAATCAACAAGAAACGGTCTGATCTTGGTTGAGGAATGAGTGGAGTTCCAACTATTTTTTCACTTAAATAATCAACAATAGCCACTATATATACACATTTGTTCTATATCACAGTCATTTATTTAATGTTTAGCTGCTTTGTATTGCTTATGCTTTTTGATATTTGTGATTTTTTAATATGATATACACCAATGATATGTATAGTTTTTGTTTTTCCTTCTCCCGAATAATTTTGCTTTTCTCTCTTGCTCTTCTTGCCATCTCTCCAGGGTACTAATTTTTATATTTTTCTATACTATCCTCATACACACAAAAAAAGTATGTATACACACAAAACAAGTGTGTGGTGTGGGGCCTGGCTGTTAGACAGAGCAGACATGCTTGAGACATGTCCTCACTAAACCCTGATTATTCAGATTATATATATGTGGGGTAGGGGGTGACAATGTCGCTTTAAAGGCTTCTCATATCTTAGGAGAGATAAAAAACAGAAGGATCAGCGCTTAGTTTACCAAATCACAATAGAGAGAATAAATAGATAATTAGGCAGCACACCTCGAATAGTTAAGGCTCCCTCTAAGCCTTACAGACAAAAGGAGTGATACAAATAAAATGGGAAAAATATTTGCAAACCAGTGTGTGAATGTAGATAACAACAGAATCAAAAACTAAAAAAAGACTTAAATTTTCAGAACGATCCTAATTAGGAGGACCTTTCTCCTCACTTCTTTATCACATACCGTGACTACATTCGTGATGATCCTAATTAGGAGGAGCTTTCTCCTCACTTCTTTATCACATACCGTGATTACGCTCGCGAACTTCAATTCCCATAATGCCTATCCCATAATAATCTATATTTTATCTATGAACAAAGCCTTTTTTTTTACTCCGAAATTATACCACCAGTTCCCACTACCCTATTCTACCTTACAATATACTTTTTAGAAAATTGTATTAAATATCTTAAATATGACCATTAAGATATTTTGGTGCAAAAATTACATAATTCTGGCACCAAATTTATAATTTGTTACACTTGCACTTCTTATAAAAACCCCTACCTGCCAGGTTGAACTTTTTTATCTCCACTTGATAAAACATTTTACGGTGAAACGCATTGTAGATAATTGGTCATTTTAACATTGCTCATTAATAAAGGTATTTTGGCTACTTTCAATTGTGAGTGTGCCATTTTATTCTTTTATCTGTCACTATTTTTTTTTCATTATTTTCTACCTGACTTCTGTTTTTATTGTACGGAGAGGACTACTCCATTAAAGAATGCTAGGTGAGGATTATACCACTCACGTTGAGCAGTCTGCCTTCTCAATCAAATTTGAATAACCTATCATTACTTAATACTCCTGGATTTTTATAATGTAAGCACTATTGTTGTTTCTTTTAACCATTATTGGGCTTCATATTGAGGAAACATCTTCCTATCAATATTCCCTCATGTATCCTATAAGTGGGGATTATACCACTGTACACTATTCATACTAGAACTGGTTTTAAGCTTAATTAAACGCGAGTAGGACTTATTTTTAGACATGTGCAATTCGTTTCAGTCCGAATGTGAATTCAGACGAATTTCAGGAAATTCGGACATTCGGGTACTTCCGAATGTCCGAATAGATGAATTGCCGAATTGCCGAATTGCCGAAAGGTCAAAAATTACCAAATTTGTTTTGAAGTGTCAAAGTTCCAAAGTTGCCGAAGTTCCGAAGTGCCGAAGCACAGTATTGCCTAAGAACTAATATACTTACCCAGTGGAAGAATGAACAATGTTACACTGTATACAATTTTAAATAAAAAGTATACAAACATAGCCAGGATTCAGCTGTAAGCATTTGCAACACTTACAACAATCAAGTAACATACATTCATATAAAATGTAAGTTACTTAGCCAGTCAGTGTAATGACAAGAATGAATAAGTAGATAACTCCCTAATTCCCACGGTATTAGGGAGCTATCTACTAAAAGGCTGAAAGACCTAAATTGGTCTTTTAGCCAAATTTACTAATACTCAGTAAAGATTACTTAGTATTAGTAAATTAAGCCCCTTATCGCTATACCGCGAGTAGGGGCATGTCTATTAAACAGTGAGCAGCCAAAAAAAAGAAGGTCCCGCCCTCCCGAGCCCCCACCCGTGCTGCGTGAGTGGGGGCTTCTAACCTGAAGGGGGAACCTATTGCCCCCCTCCCGGCCCCCACCCTTTCCCCCGCCGGTAGGTGGGGGCCCTACAGTAAAATAAGGGTGGAACCTAATGTCTTCCCCCTGTCCACCACCCCTGAGCAGTGGGTGGGGGCCCTAAATACTAATAAGGGAGGGGGACCTAATGTCCTCCCCCCTGGACCACACCCCTAAACAGCAGGTGGGGGCCCTAAATTAGAATAAGGGGGGGACCTAATGTCTTCCCCCCTGGCCCCCACCCCTGAGCGGTGGGTGGGGGCCCTAAATACTAATAAGGGAGGGGGACCTAATGTCCTCCCCCTTGGACCCCACCCCTGAGCAGTGGATGGGGGCCCTAAATTAGAATAAGGGGGGCCTAATGTTCTCCCCCTGGCCCCCACCCCTGAGTGGTGGGTGGGGGCCCTACAGTTAAACAAGGGGGGAACCTAATGTCCTCCTTCCTGGCCCCCACCCCTGAGCGGTGGGTGGGGGCCCTAAATACTAATAAGGGGGGACACCTAATGTCCTCCCCATGGCCCCCACCACTGAGCGGTGGGTGGGGCCCTAAATACTAATAAGGGGGTACCTAATGTCCTCCCCTCTGGCCACTATCCCTGAGCGGTGGGTGGGGGCCCTACAGTAAAACAAGGGGGGACCTAATGTACTCCTCCCTGGCCCCCACCCCTGAGTGGTGGGTGGGGGCCCTAAATACTAATAAGGGGGGGACCTAATGTCCTCCCCCCTGGCCACCACCCCTAGCAGTGGGTGGGGGCCCTAAATTGTAATAAGGGGGATCTAATGTCCTCCCCCCTGGCCTCCTACCCCTGAGCGGTGGGTGGGGGCTATAAATACAAATGTCCTCCCCCCTGGCCCTCACCCCTGAGTGGTGGGGGCCCTAAATACTAATAAAGGGGGGACTTCATGTCCTCTCCCCTGACCCCCACCCCTGAGCGGCAGGTGGGGGCCCTAAATACCAATAGGGGGTCGGTCCTCCCCCCTGCTCCCACCCTTGAGTGGTGGGTGTGGACCCTAAATAAAAATGTTACCCCCCCAGGTGACTAGGGGTCCCCAAACCCCTAGTCCCCCCCCCCCAAAAAAAAAAGTTAACCCCTACCTACCCCCCTCATCCTAAAAATAATGAGGGGGGGGACCTTTAACTAAGTACTTGTAAAAAAAAAAAAAAACTTACCATTTGATGTTTTCTTTCTTCTAATATCTTCTTTTTTCAGCCCCAAAAAAGGCCAAATAAAAAATTCATAATAACCGACGCACTTTAAAAAAAAAAAAAAAACTGAGCGCAAAAAAAAATCCATCTTCACCCATGGAGGGCTCCGTGCAGACTGAGCTGCAATTAGGCTCAGAGCACTCTGATTGGTGGGTTTAAGCCATCCAATCAGAGTGCTCTGACAGGTAAATGAAGAGACTGACAGGTAAGTCTCTACATTTACCCGTCACAGCACTCTGATTGGTTGGCTTGAAATCCACCAATCAGAGTACTTTAGAATTTTCCCACACCGTGTAATTTGACTCATAACTCTCTGATAGGTTACTTAACCCACCAATCAGAGTGTTATGAGTCAAATTACACAGGGTGGGAAAATTCCAAAGAACTTTCCCACTTGTATAAAATGGTAAATACCTGTAAGTCTCTTAATTTACCTGTCAGAGCACTCTGATTGGATGGCATAAACCCACCAATCAGAGTGCTCTGAGCCTAATTGCAGGGTGGGGCAAGGCTTTATAAGCCTTCCCCCGCCCTGCAGATCTCAGTCTGCACGGAGCCCTCCATGTGTGAAGATGGATTATATTTTTTTGCGTTCATATTTTTTTTTTTATTTTTTTTAAGTGCATTAATTATTATGGATTTTTTTATTTGGCCTTTTTGGGGGCTGAAATAAGAAGATTTTAGAAGAAAGAAAACATCAAATGGTAAGTTTTATTTTGTTTTACAAGTACTTAGTTAAAGGTCCCCCCCCTCATAATTTTTTAGGGTGATGGAGGTAGGTAGGGGTTAATTTTTTTGGGGGGGAGGGTGACTAGGGGTTTGGGGACCCCTAGTCACCTGGGGGGAAACATTTTTTAGGGTCCCCACCCACCACTCTTCTCTTGATATGTGTACTAAATGCAAAATTTGAAGAGGGAAGTGCTGGTGACAGATAGCCACAGAGAATCGTAAGTGATGTGTTGAACTTGCTGATCTGGCCGGGAGTGATGTAGATTGAAAACGGAAACGGAAGAGATGGCATATTGGAAGTAACAAATCAGATGAAAACAAATATGGCACTAATTTGTACTGACTGAAAACTGGTAGAGATGCCATTACGGAGGTGGTAAAATAGAGGAAGACACATGCGGCACTCATTGTGACTAACTTGAAGTGGTATATAACCATGTATAGAGAAGGGAGATACTATACACCTAAGGAAGACCTTGGAAGGATGAAACGTGTTGTATTTTTATCTCACACGCACTTTTTGATTTGTTTTAATTTTATGTGTATTTTACTTAATAAATACTTCATATCTGTCCCGTGACTCCGAATTACTATCCTCAAAAGGAGCTCCACTAGTACAAGGAGGTGAAATGATCCGGCTGGGAATTGCTGCTTGATCGTTGCTGTGAGTCTTTTAAGTTCAGAGCTGACTTCTAGTAGGCTCTGCAAAGTGTGAGTTTCCCATTTGGAATGTGTCCAAATGTTAACACCTAGCATATTACACTATAATGTGTTCTCATATGTTTACTATATAGGAGATATTCGTTCCTGTAGATTTTATGAATGTACAATTGTATTGGGTAACTATAACCACAGTGTGCTCTCTCAACCTTTTTAATATGTTTTTGTTTTGATATATGTTAGTGTAAAAACTGACATTACACTTAAGGGTATAAAGCTGCACTGGGTTTACCACACTATAGTGTCTTTTATTCCCTTAATTATCTTGTATTGTTATATTTACAGTAATGAGAAAAAGAAAGTACATCCTCTTTGAATGTTATGGTTTTACATATCAGGACATATTAACAATATTCTATTCCTTAGCAGGTCTTAAAATTATGTAAATAGAACCTCAGATGAGCAAAACCAAATGACATATTACACAGTATCTTGATTATTTAACAATAATAAAGCCAAAATGGAGAAGCTATGTGTGAAAAACTAAGTACACCTTATGATTCAGTAATCTGTAGTACCACCTTTAGAAGCAATAACTTAAAATAATCATTTTCTGTATGACTTTATCAGTTTCTCACAAAGCTGTGGAGGAATTTTGGCCCACTCTTCATTACAACATTGCTTCATTTCATTGAGGCTTGCTGTTATTTGTTTATGCTCTCTTACAGTATCGCCTCAGCAGTTGAGGTCCTAACTTTTACTGGGCCATTGCCACACCTTAATTCTTCTTTTTTTTTTTAGCCATTCTGTATTAGATTTGTTTGTGTGCATGGGGATCATTGTTCTGTTGCATGACCCAATTTCGACCAAGCTTCAGCTGTCAGTGAGATGGCCTCATGTTTGCGTTCATGGTTGACTCAATGACTGCAAGGTTTTCAGGTTCTGTGGCTACAAAACATGTCCAAATCATCACTCCTCCACCATTGGTTTTCACCTAACTTCTCCACTTTTGTGTCATCTGTCCAAAGGACATTGTTTCAGAAATCTTGTGGTTTGTTTCAATTTGAACAAACCATACTCTTTTACTAATTGTAATGTCATAAACTTTAACATTTACTGGAATGTTAACTGGAAAATATAACATCAAGACTGGAAATTGGGTTTACAAACCCAACTCTGTTCTGGGACCCCTACTATTTAACATGCTTATAAATGATCTTGAAAAAAATATTGAAAGTCATGTTTCAGTGTTTGCAGATGACACAAAACTCTGTAAGTAATTCAATGTAAGCAAGATATTACTTTGCTGCAGATGGATTTAGGTAGACTGGGGGACTGGGTTCTCAAATTGCCAATGAAATTTAATGTATAAAAATGCAAAGTTATTCACTTTGGCAAAGAACGCACAAGCAACTTATACCCTAAATGGAAGCAAATTAGAGATAACAACACAAGAGAAGGATTTGGGAATTGTTATAGACAATAAACTATGCAACAATGTGCCTTATCAATCAGCAGTGGCTAAGGCCAGCAAAGTATTGTCATGCATGAAAAAGGGAATCAATTCTCAAGATGAAAACATAATTGTGCCTCTTTATAAATCACTGGTAAGACCACATCTTAAATATGCTGTGCAATTTTGGGCACCTGTTCTGAAATAAGTACTTATTTTTTATTTTATTTAAAAAAAAATAATAACAAATAAATAAACATATATATATTGTTTTGGTAACTTAAAATTAAATTTTACCATTCAAACGTATTTTATTTGGTCCTGTTTTTACTTATCATCTGGATGTCCTCAACTGGCACAGTTGCACTATTTCCTATTTGTCCTTACATATCCCAGGTGGGGATTCTACCACTCATGCTGTTTCCAACTAGCATATCTGTGCTCCACTAAATAATACTCACCCCAAGAAACATCTGTGAGCATCGATTATACCACTTCATGCCTATACTAAGAGCTGAATTTAAAGCTCTTTACTTGTGAGTGTATTTTACTTCATTTTAGTAAATATTTTAAGATCCTGTTAATGTATTGTACTATTGGTTCTTTTTGTCTCCACATTTATATATTCCATGTGAGATGCACACCCTCTGAGTACTACAATGCCTTGAGTGATCATCCACTCCATATCCCGTGATAAGGATTGTATTGTCAAAATACTAACATCTGAGAGCTAATAGATAGCTCCATTTTTGTGAGTGTATTTTCAATCATCTTTCATTTTCTCCTTTGATGCATACAATATTATACTATCTTGTTTTTTCTGTTTTTCTAATTATCAAGTACTTCCCCCACTCTGTTTGGTGCAACCTGTTTCTCATTTTCATTTTACTTTTATAGTATTTTTGGGTTGTTAGGGTACCCAAGTTTCAGTGTTTGCTGCCCACCAGAATCAGCGCTCTATCTATCCCCTATTGTTTACAAGCAACTTATACACTTAATCAAAGCGAATTAGGGATAGCAACACACGAGAAAGATTTGGGAATTGTTATAGACAACAAACTGTGCAACAATGTGCAATGTAAATCAGCAGTGGCAAAGGCCAGTAAGGTATTGTCATGCATGAAAAAGGGCATCAAAAGATGAAAACATAATTTTGTCTCTTTATAAATCACTGGTAAGATCACATCTTGAATATGCTGTGCAATTATGGGCACCTGTTCTGAAGAAGGATATTATGGCACTAGAAAAAGTGCAGAGGTGGGCTACAAAATTAATAAAAGGAATGTAAAGGTTAAAAAATGTGAACCTCTTTAGTTTAGAAAAAAGTAAACTCCGAGGGGATATGATAACATTATACAAATATATCCGAGGACAATACACTCCATTTCGTGGAAATCTATTCACAAACAGGCCTATACATTGGACACAAGGTCAAGCGTTTAGAATGGAAGAAAGAAGGTTTTGTCTAAGGCAAAGGAAAGTGTTTTTTTACCATAAGAAAAATAAGGATTTGGAATTCTCTGCCTGAAGAAGTAGTTTTATCAGAATCTGTACAGATATTAAAATAGCAACTAGATGCATACTTGCAAAAACATCATATTCAATTATATTCTTTTTTAACTGTTCGGTAATAGCTTCTTCATCTAAGGATAAATCTGACTGCCATTCTAGGGTCAAGAGGTAGGTTTTTATTTCTAGTTTGTTGCAAAATTGGAAGTGCTTTAAACTGGGTTTTTTGCCTTCTTTTGGATCAATACCGAAAAACAAATGTGAGGAAGGCTGAACTTGATGGACACGTCTCTTTGCAGCCTATGGATACTATGTAACTCTAATCCTTACAAACAATCATGCCAGTAATTACTAATTACTCTGAACCTGCTCTTATGATACTTAATAAATTCAGTGGGAATAAAATTCAATACAGATTTGTGGCAAACCTAGCCACTTTAGGTCCTACTGTGTAACATCTGAAGGTTGTCTGTAAAAGCTGCTTTAATTCTGTGTATGGATGTATTCGTGTATTCTTGTAATAGAGAGCATTCCTATGCAAACGGCCGAAAGCCACTAGCATTCCTATGGTAGTTTCACGAACAGTGATTTTACACACTGTTCGTGAAACGAATAAAGTATCGAATGGGAGCCCACACACAGAGGGTCGTGTGGCTCCCATTAACCGATTGCAACATTGTAGCAATCGGCGGTTAAGTGCTTTCCTGGGTGGCCGTCGTTCGGCTACCGACCACGCGGCGGTCGGCCATCTTGGATCCTTTCGTAGTACAGGCCGTTCAGGAGCACCGGTCCTTCGGTATTTTGTTCCCTAATATGTATTCGGTACTTTTAAGGAGAATGTAAAATAAAGTGTGTTTCGTGCGGCGTTCGGTCATTTATGCTGGGATCTGAGTGGTACTTTCACAAAGTGTGCGCTTAGACCCCAGCTATCTACTGAACGGTCATTTAGTAGAATCCCACGAATAAGGCTAAAGTTATGTATTTTTGTGTTAAAATCCGGTTCTGCTGTACGGAGGCATAATCCACTTAATAGGATATTTTAGTGTGAGTATCCCTCTCGTACAGCAGTGCATGGTGGGAGAAATGCTCTTTATATTCAGTTCCCCATGTAGTCCTCTACTGTATAACCACTGTAAAGTGACTAAGGAAAAGCCTTGCATGGGGAATCACATAAATACTGGAGCTTGTGAATAAAATCATCAGTTGACTCCCAGAACTGTGTTTTGTCTGGTTACTGGGGGATTTGGGATATTGCCTTCATTTCCAGCACCTTACTTTAGATTACTTTCTGTACCAACGGAGATTGTGGGATTTAACATTGCAGCTCCGCTACAATTGGTGGCAAGCGACGGGATCCAACCTTACAGCCAAAAAGCAGTGTTCGGGTAATTGAAACTACCGAACAGGAAAGTGAATGGCAATTCGGATGCAACAAAGAACCGAACACAGAGGTGAATGGAGACAGATTACACTGCATTGAAACGGCAGACGTTAAAGGAACTACTGGAAACCAGGGGTAAGATAGCCAGCACTAAGTCCAAAGCTGTGCTTATTGCCGAACTGATGGAGGGAGACAGAGCTCGCAGCATTACACCCCTACCAGCCATGGAAGAAACTCCCTTCCAAAAAGAAATGAGAACCAGGATGGAATTCTTACCCCAGCCAGTACCACTGGAAATACTGACAGTACTGATGGCGGATGTGCAGGAGTATGTGATGGCACACAGACCGCAAGATTCACCCTCCAGAGCAGAATCTACTGCTGCTTCGATCATCAGCCAGGTAAAACCACATCATGCTTTTAAAATGTTTTGCGAAGAAAAAGATGAGATTGATGGGTATCTACAAGATTTTGAGAGGCCTGCATGATCTGGAGCAAGCAGTGTGGGTACCTTTCCTGGCAGGCAAACTGTCAGGTCGGCCAGCAGAAGCCTATCGGGCCGTACCCAGAGAGGACAGCAAAGATTATGCCAGGGTAAAACAGGCTATACTAGAGTGATACGCCTTTACCCCGGAGGCATACAGGCGAAAGTTTCGAGGGTTGCGCAAACCGGAGAAAGACTCCCACGCAGACTGGGCACACAAACTGGATCAAGCCTCCCGGGGGTGGATACAAGCCAGCCAAACTACCACCATGGAGGAGTTACGACAATTGCTGTTGTTAGAACAATTTTACAATGACCTGACACCAGAGGCACAAGAATGGGTGAGAGACAGGAAACCCCTCACCCTAACAGAAGCTGCACGACTGGCCAGGAGGCATCATGGTAACCCCAATCGAGGGTATCCTCGACCTGCCACCCAACCTCCTACAGCTACTATTACCGCACCCACAGCAACTTGATTCCGGCCAACCCCAGGGGGGCACACTCTACCCTCCCGATATAATGGACAATCTAATATTCAGTGCCATACATGCAAGCAATGGGGCCACATGGCAAGAGAGTGTACACAGAACCGGAGCCGTCAAGCATGGAGCCAAGTACGATCAAACCCAGCACCAAGAGCAGCTGCACATCACTACCAAGCGGAGCCAACAACCCAGGAGAAACTGCCAGCAGATGTCGTATTGGGAAACGACCTGGGCAGAATGACGTCCGCTTTTATACCTCAAGCTCCACTCCAAGAGGCACACCCGGTAACCACAAGACAACAGGCTCGCACCGCGGCTTCCTCCACACACTCTGAGGCTCAGGTAAGAGACAATGTAACCCCTATGACAAAAAACAAAAAAAGTGTGCAGCGCATATACCAGACCCACAAGTCTTATAGGAATATAACCACAATCAGTGAATATGTGATAATAAAAAAAGGAGATAAATACCCCAATATTTTTAGATCTTTGAGGGTCATAAGTATTTGCCAGATCCCATATAAAAGCTGGTTCAAGTGGTGTCACTTTAAGATGTCTCAATTCAAATCTTGAGGTTACTCTCAGAGATGAAGCTTGATCCTCAGAATATGCAAATTATTGAGCAAGCAAACATCAAATAAGAAGAGTATAAAAAACACATTTATTACAAGTAAATAAAAACCTTACATTGAGGTCTTGTAAAATCAGCAAAAATAGCAGCATAGGTAGTAGCACAGTGTTCCCTGGGATACCCCGACAGAATTTGAGGCAGCAGTTAAGGTAGACCCTACGCTGAAAGTGTACAGGGATAGGGTGACCTCAGACCAGGCGGGATTAGAAGGAGAGCGGTATGCTTGGAAAAAGGGGTTATTGTACCGTATTGCTGAACGGGTTGTGGGGGGATCTGTAAATGTGACTACTAGACAGCTAGTAGTACCCCAGAAATATAGACAGGAACTCCTTAGGATCGCTCATGACATTCCCTTGTCTGGGCATCTGGGTATGACCCGAACCCGATACCGCCTGACCCATGCCTTCTTCTGGCCAGGTATCTCCGAAGATGTGCGACAACTGTCAGCGAGTAGGCAAGACAGGTGGCCACCACAAGGTCAAATTATGCCCCCTGCCCATCATAGAAGAACCGTTTAGTAGGGTGGTTGTGGACATAGTAGGACCCTTACCCCAACCCAGTCCCTCCGGCAAGAGATATATCTTGACCGTGGTAGATTACGCCACCAGGTACCCCGAGGCAGTAGCCGAGACCGTGACAAAAGCCTTAATGAAAGTCTTTTTCCGGGTAGGGTTCCCACAAGAGATCATATCAGATTGGGGTACTTTACGGCCGAAGTAACACACCAACTATGGAAAATATGTGGCATTAAGCCTATCGTAAATTCCGCGTACCACTCTCAGTCGAATGGGTTATGTGAAAGGTTAAATGGGGCTTTAAAGCAGATGCTCCGTACATTTGGAGAGGCCCATAAGGACTGGGAGCGATTCCTACCCCATCTGCTATTCGCATACAGAGAGGTACCCCAAGAGTCTACCGGGTTTTCCCCCTTTGAATTACTGTTTGGGAGAAGAGTGCGAGGACCCCTAGATTTAAGCATTGGGAAGGGGAGAGCAGTACCGATGGGATACCCATTGTACTCTATGTGTTGGAGTTCAGGGACTGCTTGGAGGCACTAACCCAGACCGTACGGGTAAACCTCCAGGCGGCCCAACAACGCCAGCGCCGTTGGTATGATAGGGGAGCCAGGGACCGCAGCTTTCAAGTGGGACAAAAAGTTTTGATTTTGAAACCTGTTCGCAATGACAAGCTGCAGGCCGTCTGGCAGGGCCCATACCAGGTGGTGGACCAGAGATGTGACACCACCTATGTTATTGGCCCCTGCTCAGGGACAGGGAAGAGACGCATGCTCCATGTGAATATGCTCAAACCCTACTATGAGAGGATAGAGGATGTGGCAGCGATATACGCCTCAGCCTCTGAGGATCAGGAGAATCTTCCGCCACCTGATTTATTAGAGCGAGAAGATCAGGCAGAGCCCTCCACAGGTGTTCAGCTGGGGGAGCGGCTAAGCCCCCAGGAACGTGCCCAGGTACAGGAGTTAATCGTGCCTAAGGGAGCCACTTTCTCCAATTTACCTGGGTACACTCCGCTAGCCACTCACCGAGTCGAGAACACAGGACAGCTACTTATGCGACAGACCCCATATCGTATCCCTGAAGTCAGGGAACATATGCGGAAGGAAATTGAGGAGATGTTGCAGCTAGGGGTTACTGAACATTCCGATAGCCCCTGGGCATCGCCGGTAGTGCTGGTACCCAAGAAGGATGGCACAACACGATTCAGTGTTGACTATCGGAGGCTAAATGATAAAACAGTGTCGGATGCCTACACGATGCCCCGGATAGATGAGCTGCTAGACAAGATGGCACGAGGCCAGTACCTCACGATGATAGACGTATGCAAAGGGTACTGGCAGATTCCTTAGCCGAAGATGCCATCCCCAAGTCGGCGTTTGTCACCCCGTTTGGCCTGTACCAGTTTTGAGTCATGCCATTCGGGATGAAAAACGCTCCGGCCACTTTTCAATGGATGGTAGATCGGCTACTGGACGGCTTCCAGGAGTATGCATGTGCATACCTGGACGATATCGCCATATACAGCCAGACATGGTCCGACCACCTGCGACATATTGGAGCAGTCATTGACCGTATTGGAAAGGCAGGGTTGACGCTAAAACCCAGCAAGTGTCATGTAGGGATTGCAGAGGTGCAGTACCTTGGGCACCGAGTAGGGAGTGGGCAGCAAAAACCAGAGCCAGCAAAAATAGAGGCAGTAGCTAAGTTCCGTAATCATATCTTTAAAGGACCACTCTAGGCACCCAGACCACTTCAGCTTAATGAAGTGGTCTGGTTGCCAGGTCCCTCTAGGATTAACCCTTTTTTTTATAAACATAGCAGTTTCAGAGAAACTGCTATGTTTATAAATGGGTTAATCCAGCCTCTAAAGCCTCTAGTGGCTGTCTCATTGACAGCCGCTAGAGGCGTTTGCATGTGAAAATCACAGTGAGAAGACGCCAGCATCCATAGGAAAGCATTATGAATGCTTTCCTATGAGACTGGCTGAATGCGCGCGCAGCTCCTGCCGCGCATGCGCATTCAGCCAAAGAGGAGGAGAGGAGGAGGAGAGGAGGAGGAGAGCTCCCTGCCCGGCGCTGGAAAAAAGGTAAGATTTAACCCTTTCCTCGCCATCAAGCCCGGCGGGAGGGGGTCCCCGAGGGTGGGGGCACCCTCAGGGCACTATAGTGCCAGGAAAACGAGTATGTTTTCCTGGCACTATAGTGGTCCTTTAAGAATCGGGTCTTCCTTTAGAAGGTGCCAATGTTTATTCATAATTTTTTTTTAAATGTCTATTTTTATCATTATAATCTAGTGTTATAGGCAATGTCATGCCCTTCTGTTGTTGTATTTTTTCTTTGTGTATAAGGTCTTTTTGGTTGATTGCGAGCATTTGTTGTATGGTAGATTCTATTAATTTATCATTGTAACCTTTGTTTAATAGGCTGTTTTTAATTTTATTTGCTTGTTCTATAAAGTTGGTATTATCCGAGCAATTTCTTCTTAATCTGGTGATCTGGCTCTTTGGGATACAATTAAGCCAAACCTTATTGTGACAGCTTTTTGTGTCTATATAATTGTTGACATGTACGTCTTTGAAGTGATTTTAGTATTAATAGTATTATCCTTAATATAAATATTGAGATCTAAGTATGTGATTTCACTGTTAATGAACTTTGAAGTTAAAACTATGCCTTCTTGATTAGAATTTAAAAACTTTATAAAATCTTGTGCATCTGTAATAGAACCTTTCCAAACAAAAATAAGATCGTCTATATATCTTGAATAGGACACCAGGTTCGCTGCCCATCCATATCCGCTCCAGATGTATTTCTCCTCCCATTCAGCCATATAAAGATTGGCATAGCTAGGCGCGAACCTGGTGCCCATGGCTGTGCCTCTGTTTTTTAAATAAAAGGAATCTTTGAACCAAAAATTGTTGTTGTTTAGAATCAGTTCTATGCCTTGAATTAAAAAGTTAATTAGATTCTGTATCATGAAGTCATCTTTTTCTAAAATATTTTTGACCGCTTTGCACCCTTTATCATGTTGAATGATAGTGTACAAAGATTGTACGTCGCAGGTGATAAGCAGAAAGTCTGCTTGCCAAGTGATATTTTCTAATTTTTTTAAAAGGTCTATAATATCTTTGAGGTAGGATTTGGTTTTGGTGACATAAGGCTGAAGTAAAATATCTATATATTCTGATAGATTCGAAAGTGCGGAACCAATACCGGAAACGATTGGTCGTCCTGGGGGTTTTGATAAATTTTTATGGACTTTCGGGAGATATAGACAATCTTTTTTTTGTTTGGAAAGGTTCTATTACAGACGCACAAGATTTTATAAAGTTTTTAAATTCTAATCAAAAAGGCATAGTTTTAACTTCAGAGATCAGTAACAGTGAAATCACATACTGAGATCTCAATATTTATATTAAAGATAATACTATTAATACTAAAACTCACTTCAAAAGACATACATGTCAACAATTATAAGCAAATAAAATTAAAAACAGCCTATTAAACAAAGGTTACAAAGATAAATTAATAGAATCTACCATACAACAAACACTCGCAATCAACCAAAAAGACCTTATACACAAAGAAAAAAATACAACAACAGAAGGGCCTGACATTGCCTATAATACTAGATTATAATAAGAATAGACATTTAAAAAAAAATTATGAATAAACATTGGCGCCTTCTAAAGGAAGACCGATTGTTAAAGATATGATTCCGGAAAGACCAAAAATCATCTGGAGTGCCCCTTTGGCCTCCAGTATATTGGACGCACCATAAGGATACGAATAGCTGAACATTGTAGAAATATAGAAAACAATTATATTAACCATTCTGTATAATCCCACTTCTGTAAACATAATAATGACCCCAAACACCTTACTTTCATGGATATTGCCACAGTAAATAATCATTGGAGAGGCGGATATTTTATTTAAAAAAAAAGACAAAAAGAGATGGAGTGGGTATTTAAATGGTTAAATACTGAATTTGATCTTTTTCATTTTTTATGACATAATTGCTGTTATTTTATATTAATATGTTTTTAATTCCCAAGTTAATTCTGTATATTCCATCTATTATTAGGCATATTTTTGCTTATTTCTAGATGTATTTATTTTTAATTAAGCTCACATATTTCTCCTGCCGCTCCACACTTATAGTGTGTTATTTATGTACATATTTTACCTCCTACAAGCATATATTGTGACACCTCCACTTGCACATATTAGATTTCACGGATATCGTTTTTTCAATGCATGCTTTGTATCACTATGGGCACATAATTGTCGTCATTTCATATGTGCCTTTTAAATTCCAATTTTATTTTAACTTTTCATTAGGGCTCTACATTCTGTTTTTTGATTAATATAATTTTTTGGGGGGGGATTTCCCTTTATATATGCATATTTTATACAATCCATTATTATCATCTGATTGGAATTTAAACCACATCTATTATTACTTAATGTTTACTATTATAAGCCTTTGATGTAATTTTTATTTCCGTTTGTTTTTTATATTATGCTCTTCTGCCCTGTTTATTAATGGCCAAATCTACTCCCTCCATGAGTATAACAGAACATCGTCAACTTTTGCTAGAGGCTCATAATAGCTTATATCTAGCTAACCTCGGTCTATTTCTTCTCTGTTTATGGACTTTCCACTAATGTTACTCCGCTAGTCCTGAGCGCAGCGGCGCCATTGTGGCACCGTTTACGTTTCACATGTGGAACGCATATATTACCATGGTCTCATATCTCTGCTTCACTTCCGGTGTGACGCGTGCATTCCACCGGTGGTTACAGGAAACAGGAAGTAATTAACAGCTGAGCTCTGGGAAATGTGAGTGTGAACTTACTCAAGCACCCATTTATACACCCACTGTATCTATTTTTTCTGCACCATTATTTTTTATGTTTTTTTATTTCGAGGTCAATTGTATAGAGACCATCACCATAACCATTGTGTATGTGTATCATATATTTTCTGGTCTATTTTTTTTCTATTATTTTTTTCTATTTTTTTCTGTTGAAACAACTGGAGTCTTAATTACTTAATATTTTCTGGTCTATTTTTTTTCTATTTTTTTGGTCTATTTTTTTCTATTATTTTTTTCTATTTTTTTCTGTTGAAACAACTGGAGTCTTAATTACTTAATATTTTCTGGTCTATTTTTTTTCTATTATTTTTTTCTATTTTTTTCTGTTGAAACAACTGGAGTCTTAATTACTTAATTATGTCCACTGACCTTACATGTAGAGGCTTTGTTCTAAAATGATCACAGAGATGCATACTTACAATAACACAACACAGAAAGTTATTCTAAGATAGAATGAACAGCATAAAGAAAGAGTCTCCATGCTGCTACAAATATTGAAGTGGAACTGTCTATTACAAAATGTGTATCTAATATCAAAGTAAATTATAATAAAATATATAAAAGACATATTCATCTTCAAGTATCAAAAAATAAAACATTTTATTCTACGCATGCTTTTACCTTTCTTCTTATGTATTTATAATAGGTTAACTATGTATTTGTCAGACATGTAGATATTATTCAGCATATACTGATAGCTGATACATACATCAATTTTACAATATATATAACAAACTTTAAACAATCACAATTATAAAATACACATGTGAATCAGTATCCTAAGCAAGTAGTTTAACAGCTGGAAGTAGTATATTACTTATCAACAATACTTTGTTAATTATATTAATTAGAAAAAGCGTCTAATACTTAATTGCCAATAATGAACAAGCTTTGATAAAGAAATGTATACATTATTTTTATGTGGATACTGACATAACATCCATGTATATAGAACATAAAATACACATATACAACATAAATACAGTACAAAGATAAGACCAGAGTATACGAGTACAGAAATTTCCATTATCGATTAGAAATCCTTGATCAAAATCACAGAGTATTAATATTAAGTATCCTTAACACATAAAGCGCTTCAAGTTCAAAGAGTTTTCATATATAGAAGAAAATGTGTATAAAGAGATGCCTTTAAGTAGGTTATTTCCATTATCAATTAAAGATCCTTGATCAAAATTACAGATTATTAATATAAAGTATCCTTAACACATAAAGCACATCAAATTCACAGAGTGAATAATTTTTTTAAGGGAAAGTGTATAAAAAGAAGTACCCTTAAATAGACTAGAACGACATTCAGAGAAAGAGTATCCAACTGTTGTTATGATGAGCTATATTGAAATGTGAAGGTATAGGCAACTCCAATAGGCCCGTCCTAATGGTGGATTTATGCTTTGAAAATCTGTCCTTCGTTTTTTGAGTTGTTTGACCCACATATAAGAGCCCACAAGGGCATTTAAGAATGTATATCACAAAGGTAGTTAGACATGCCACATGTCTTACAGGGTATTTTTTCCACTAAACGGATGACAAAATACTGATCCTTTGATCATTGAGTTGCATGAGACGCAACTTAGACAAGGAAAGTTGCCATTCTTTTTAGAAGTTTGTGAGATCGGTTTTGGTAATTCAGCCTTAATTAACGTATCTCGAAGAGATGGAGCTCGTTTATATACAGGCATAGGATTATTTTTAAATTCCTCAATGTTAGGATGACACCTAGATAATATATTCTAATGTTTATTCAATATTTTATTTATATCAGTAGATAAGACATTATATTGAGAAAAAAATTTGATTATTTTACCTATGTCTCGTTTAGGTCTTGCTATCAGTAGGTCCTGTCTTGTGACAGTTTTCAATGACTCTAGTTGATCTTGTAACATTTCAGAAGGATAACCTCTTTCACTAAACCTAGTACTCATTTCTGAAAGATGTTGATTGGTTTGTTCTGTAATGGATACCAATCTTTTTACCCTCATGAATTGACTTCTCGGTAAAGATTTAAGTGTAAAAGAGGGCTGAAAACTGCCATAATGCAGTACAGTATTTTTATCCAATGGTTTTCTATAAATACTTGTCTCTAGTCTACCATTAACTTTAGAGATAAGTATATCCAAAGATGGAATTGAATCAAAATCCATATTCACAGTAAATTTAATATTAGTCGAAAAACTATTGAGAAACTATTGAGAAAACAAAAGAATTCCTCGAGGTTGGCCCATTGGAACCCCTCGAGGAATTATTTTGTTTTCTCAATGGTTTTTCGACTAATATTCTTCTATATATGAAAACTCTTTGAACTTGAAGCGCTTTATGTGTTAAGGATACTTAATATTAATACTCTGTGATTTTGATCAAGGATTTCTAATCGATAATGGAAATTTCTGTACTCGTATACTCTGGTCTTATCTTTGTACTGTATTTATGTTGTATATGTGTATTTTATGTCCTATATACACTTGGATATTATGTCAGTATCCACATAAAAATAATGTATACATTTCTTTTTCAAAGCTAGTTCATTATTGCCAATTAAGTATTAGACGCCTTTTCTAATTAAAAAGCAATACATACAGTAGGTGGATCACACTTCTGGCAATATCTAAATAAAGAATAAATAAACAGCAATATAGTGTAATATTGTCGGCAACTTAATGGCCAAGATGTAAGTAAAAGTGGTCAGGTACTCACAAACCGAGAGCCAAACAAAGACATGTGGCTCTCATGGAACAAGTAGGATGTCCCTCTCCTTCTTGGATCTTCTGTTTCCTAACACTTACTAAAAGTAAAGTGTTTTTTTATTGGTAAAAATACTAAAAATAAATTCTAGATGTAAAAATTAAATTGGGGCGCCTTCTCCGTGCCGGTTCCTCAGTGGCGGTGGAACGCCTTCCGGTTCATGTGTTTCCACATGGCGAATTTCAACTGAAATATGCAATCCTATTGGCTGGCCTTCGGTGTGGCCTGTATTACAGTGGGCCAACACGGAAATGCCATCGTGGGGGGGGGAATACATATGATATTGACATTTAATGGCAATCATTGAGTTTTAATTTTTTTTATAGACACATACACTGACTTGGCCACCTATATTCTGTTGTTCTAGTCAAGGTGCCTGTGATTGTATCATCCCCCTCAAATCTGTCATGTTTTTTTATTTTTTTTTAAGGTGCTAGTATCTAGCTTTTACCTGGTGAGTGTTATATTTGGGTGTCAAAAAGTGCCAGTGTTCACATACGTTATTTGTGCTTGGGTTACACTAGGGTGGTCTCCAAATTATCTATTAGTAATTCTGTGTGCATTGTTTTTTTTTATGACGCGTAAGCATTCCACCGGTGGTTACATGGAAATATAGAGGAAGGTAAATTATTAACAGCTGAGCTTGTAATGAAATGTGAGTTGACTGACAGTTTACGGAAACATAAAAATTTTCTGCAAAATTTTTTATGTTTTTTTTTTCAAGAATTTTATAGAGACCCCCATAACCATTGTGTGTGTACATTTTTTCTGGTCAATTATTTTTTTCTATTTTTTTCTTTAAACAATGGAGTTTATTATTAATTTTTCTTTATTTTTTTTCTATTTTTTTGGTATTTTTTCTTTATTTTTTTCTATTTTTTTCTTTGAAACAACTTCTTAATTATTGTATTTTCTGGTCTATTTTTTTTCTATTTTTTTTTCTATTTTTTTCTGTTAAACAAGAGTTTAATTACTTATTATGTCCACTGACCTTACATGTAGAGGCTTTGTTCTAAAATGATCACAGAGATGTCTTACAATAACATAACACAAAAGTTATTCTAAGATAGTGAACAGCATAAGAAAAGTCCCACTTACAAATATTAAAACTATTAAAATCCGATTTGAAACTTAAACTTCTTTTAATATATAAAAAAAAAAAAAATCCATTTATCAAAAAATAAAACTAATATTCTACGATGGAGGTACCTTTCTTTTATTATTTATAAAGGTTAACTTGTATTTGTCAGATGTGTGAACATTCAGCATAACTGACCCTGATACATACTCAATTTTAAAAAATAATATAATGTACTTTAAACAATCAAAATTATAAAATAAACATGTGAATCACACTAAGCAAGAGTTTAACAGCTGGGATATACATTACACCTCAATTTACACCTTGTCACTTTATTAACGGGTGGGAGTAAGAAAATTCCTTTTGATCAGCTAGTATGTTTCTATTGTAAATTTATACCCCTGAGATTGCTATTATGCTCTTATTGTGAATGTATTAGCTCTTTATTCTGTATACCGAGTTTCCGAGTTGGAACGACAGTCATACAGTGTGCGTTCCAACCGGCTCGTTGCCGATTAAAAGACCCCTGCAAATCACAAGATGAGGGAGTATCCGCCGACACAAAAAACGACAAACCGGAAGTGCGTTCCACCGCGAAGAAAAGTTCCAAAGACCGGCGAAACAGTATAAAAGAACAAAAGCAGAAAGGAAGCATTACCGACTGAGGAAGCCCCTGGCACGGGGCGAAATGCGTTTTGGTAGAGATTTTACTTGGACTCTTTTATTTTATTCAAGTATATATGTTTATTGGAAACCTCTTAAATTTTTATCTTTTACCACCAATATTGGAAATAAACACTTTACTTTGAGATTTTTTTTTTTATCCCTCTACAAATAGTCCCAATGCTGTTCCCATGAGAGCCACATGTCTTTGTTTGGCTCTCGGTTTGTGAGTACCTGACCACTTTTACTTACATCTTGGCCATTAAGTTGCCGACAATATTACACTATATTGCTGTTTATTTATTCTTTATTTAGATATTGCCAGAAGTGTGATCCACCTACTGTATGTATTGCTTTTTGTTTATTTAAGAGTGGTATAAGGGGTTCCCCACTCAGGTGTTAGATCACACTTGCACTTTTCGCACTGTATTTACTATATTCTTTATTGCTGTTTGCCTTTTCTAATTAATATAATTAACAAAGTATTGTTGATAAGTAATATACTACTTTCAGCTGTTAAACTACTTGCTTAGGATACTGATTCACATGTGTATTTTATAATTGTGATTGTTTAAAGTTTGTTATATATATATTGTAAAATTGATGTATGTATCAGCTTGACAAAGACCTTTTGAGGTCGAAACGTTGCTGTTGTGGTTCTCAATAAAGTGCCTGTTTTGAACCAAGGAGTGCCTGGACCCCTATTATTTTACTAAAGATTAATATAGTCATATTTGAATTATCTAGCAAGCATTAAAGAAAAACAGTAATGCATTTGGTACAGGAAATATCAAATTAAATAAATCAAAGTGTAGTTCTATAATATCTCCAAAATAGCTATAAAATTATTAATTGCTTATCATAGGGTATACTTTACAGAGAAAATCTTTTAACAATCTCTTCCTCCCATATATCCCAATAATATTTTAGGCCATCTATAAACGAAGACGGTTGTCTATTAGCCAATTCATATTGTTTACTCTCTAAGATGGTATATAATGTTTCCTTTATCGAAGGGATAGTTGCAGATTTCAAATGTTTTGGAATAATAAAGGTGGCAGCAGTCAATAAATGTCCTATAATGATTCCATCAACCTTACTCATGTCATCAGGAAACCTCTTGAATAATACCAATTCTGAAGTAAATATGGTCTAACCTTTTAATTAGTGAGTGAATATTTTTCTAAAACTCTGTAAGCTTAGGGCAGTACCAAAAAATATATGACGGAGAGCCAATCATACCGCAATCACGCCAACATTTATTAGCGATCACAAGATTAATTCTATGTAGCCTAGTAGGGGGAAAATACCAGCGATATACAATCTTTAAATGATTCTCTAAGTGATCATAACATTGTGTTATGCCTTTGAGAGCGGTGGTAAAGCCAAGCCTGTCCTCCAGTTTATATTGAATCCCCAAATCCTTTTTCCATACCAGTATGTATTCTATTTTTGTTGCGAGATTAGGCATGACACATAAGTAGCAAAGGATATGGTATGTCCTTTGCCGGAAACAAAGAGACAGATCTTTTCCAAATTAGGAATTATCAAGGTATCAAATTTTTGTTTCCTTTATCGAAGGGATAGTTGAAGATTTCGAATGTTTTGGAATAATAAAGGTGGCAGCAGTCAATAAATGTCCTATAATGATTCCATCAACCTTACTCATGTCACCAGGAAACCTCTTGAATAATACCAATTCTGAAGTAAATATGGTCTAGGAATTATCAAGGTATCAAATTTTTTGATGCAGGGCAGAAATGGCGAAACCTTCTTTCAGTATCTCAACAATCATATTATATGCTGAATTAATAAAACTGTCTAAATAACATTTGGATTGTAATTTCCCAAAAGAAATTATAAAGTTTCCCAAAATAGAATCATTTAAATTACAAATTGAACGCATATGCCAATAATTTAAATTAATTTGTGGCAAACATTGTTGTAGAGCTGATAAAGCACAGTTCTAGATAAACTGGATCATGATCTGATCATGCCAAACACTACTTTCCAAGCTTTCATACTTGTTCTGGTTGTAGGGAATATTTCTGCTACAAGGGGATGTTTGCAGCCAAAGAATATCTTTTATAGAATAAGAGTGCAACCTGGCCTCCATTTCCAACCAACTAGGACATTGCATTTCTAAATTAAACTTAACCACAAAGGACATGGTGGCGTAGTAATATTTCTTAAAGTCGGGAATTCCCACTACTCCATTAGACCTACGATTTTGCAGTATAGTAAACTTAGATGTACTTGCTTTCTTCCTCCATATGTATAAGATCAGGGTAGAATATACCTATTTGGATTTGGATTTATAATGGATTCCTATTTCAAACATGCTAAAAAGTATATTTTAATTTTTGCAACAAATGCAGTTTATTTTGCATATAAACCAGTGTTTATAAAATTCTGTTCTTAGAAAAGACTTTGTTGAATGCCCTTTTAACCTCCTTGTTTCTCAAACAATAGATAACTGGATTGAGCAGAGGTGTCAGAACACAGTATAGCATGGATGACAATATCATAATATCAAAAGTATCTATATGTGTAGGAGCTACATAACTTAAAACACCTGTTGAAAAGAAAACTGTAACAACAATGAGATGAGAGAAACAAGTTGAGAAGGCTTTCTGCCTTCCTGCAGAAGATGGTATCTTCAGGATCGTTGTAATGATACGTATGTAAGAGATTGTGACAAACATAAATGGAGCTATTCCCATGAAAACACTGAAAATATACAATAACATCTTGCTGGTCTGTGTATCTGTACAAGAAACCTCTAGCAGTGGGGGAATATCACAAAAGAAATGGTTCAAGTTTCTGACTTCACAAAAGTTGACAGTAGACGTCACTGAAGTATGAAAAGCGGAGTTCATGAATCCACTGGAGAAACATCCCAGGACAAGATAAGAGCAGAATTTCTTGTTCATAATAACTAAATATCGCAGAGGGTTACATATTGCCACATATCGGTCGTAGGCCATAGCTGTAAGCAAAAGGCTCTCTGACCCCCCAAAGCAGATAAAGAAGTATAGCTGAACAAAACACCTGCTGAAAGAAATTCTCCTATTGTATGTTACAGAATTGAAGAACATGGCAGGAAGAGTAACTGTAGAGTAACATATGTCTAATAAAGAGAGAAAACTGAGAAAGAAATACATTGGTGTCTGAAGATGGCAATCAATCCGAATAATGCTAATGATGGCAAAATTCCCCATTAAAATTGTCACATAGGTAAACGCTATCAAAATTGACAGACACACACATCCCTCTGGAAATCCTAGAAGGATAAAATCACTTGTGATACTTTGATTTTCCACAGCCATCAAATTAGAAATAATACAACTGCATTTACTCTGACTTACGGTTAATGGGACTGTCGTTTAGTTATCAACAGGAAAAGAACAATAGGTTGCTCAATAGATAATGGATATGGCAAATATTTTGCTGATAGACAAATCCCCTATGTGCCTGTCTTTTCTGTTAACTATGTTCTGGCTTCTATTGTTTGTCCAGGACAGCTGGGAGTCTCGTCCAAATTTTCTATAACTTTTCAAATGATTGCGATGTCACCAACTCTGGAGAGAACAGATTTCCAAGATCATAAAACTCCTACAACTCTGCAAAAACATCTGAAATATATATGGAGATTTCACACACATAATTTACAACGTGCACAAGTTACATTATTATTTGTATATTTCATCACTAAACTGTGAGTTGTGTTGGACGTAACCGAGAATAAAAATGTCAGGATAAAAATACTAAGTTGTAAGTTAGTTGTACTGACATGTTTTTTTAAAGTTGACTTTTCTGTATTTTAATTATTTACAACAATGTTTTAGTTTGGAAAAAAATAATTAGTCTCACAAGTATTCTGTATATGTAATACAGGTCTGCACTAGTCTACTATCCATTGGAAAAAGAAAATGTACATCTGTGAGTATGCTAGGGAGATGAGTAACTTTTCGTACTTTGATTATTGAGCCCTGTATTAAGCATCCATGTGTCATATTGGGGTCTGAGGGTTAGAATCTATAGTACAGAAAGCACACATGGCATGCTCAATATATTTTTAAATGCTATATCACACTAACCTTATATAATAAAATGATGACACGTGTTTTTTTCCATTCTTGCTATAAAAAAATACACTTATTCTATTTCGCAGTTATACCACTTGAATGGAAATTCATTGTTCTTGATGTTGAAATATGAGGCATGACTACAAAAAATATACCTTTGACATAAATGTTTTCATTCATATCTCTTAGCTAGATACATATTCTCTGCTAAGATAAGGTGTTCTCCTTTTTATAAAGATATGCTCCAACCATCTTAAGGTCCTTAGAGAATTTACTCCAGTCAGGAGATTCCGTAACAACATGAGAATAAAATAAATGCAATGAAGTGCTGATGTCATTTTAAAACAGAAAAATAGCTAGCTCACATAGAATTGAAAAATATAACTTAGGTTTTTACATGATTTTACTGTTTCATGATGGAAAGTCATGATTTTCTGAAAGATACAGAGGAAAGTATTGCTTCCTTTACTGTCCACCAATAGCAGCAAAGAATAAACAGAATAGAAAAATAGAAAAAGTGATCCCAGTCAATCCCTATTCAGGTCCTAGCAGAGCCAAAAGCACCACCCCCAGACTTTCCTCTTTCTTTGGCCATAAACAATAATCAATAACGGCAATCAAATAAAGTAAAAATGAACAGTCCGGGACATATGATTCAACACTAGAGGCTTCTCACAGGAAACAATCCAATCAAACGTCAAAGAGACTGGAAACACAGCCTCCAATACATAGAAGAATTTCAAAACCTAAGCTGCATGCAACAAAGCTGAACATG